TTATTATTATTGCCATTTATATAGCGCTTTGTGGGGTTTTTGTCTCTGAATACCTCACAGCACACCTTTAACAGGATAAGAAGACAAAATGGGAATTTTGTTGGGGTATAATGTCAATATGTAATGTTAAATTCCTGTTAGGTATAGTTTAATTGTATTGTAGGCTAGTTTCAAAGAGATGTGGCAAAAAGTTGTAAAAGCAACCATTTTCAATTGAAACACATTTATTATATTGAAGTCACACACACATTTCTTAAATATACCATGAGCTCTAGTGCAAGCTTCCTTAGTGTTGGACAAATGTACCCGCGTAAGTGATATACTCGGACTTAATAAAACTTAAGGCATGGTTAGGTCTTTTGAACTGCAGAGGATCTCCGGGCTGAATATTCGCTGTTGGATGGTGTCTGAAAATTCCTGTAAACTAGAACATGGCAGAGCAACATCTGCTTTATTCTGAACACCCTGTACATGGATGCAGTGTAATGAGAACTGTAGTTTAGCTGCTAACTAGGTCAGTTTCTTATTAACTTCATGATAGTAAGAGATTTTTTGACCGGCCTTTATAAAGATGGCATGTTAACATAAAACATCAAACTGCTTTCCCTTAGCACTTGTTACCCCATATATGTGCTGCTACTATTATGGGAAAGACTACACAAAGTGCTGAAGTTTGATTAAAATTATCTAGAATGGCAGTTTCTGGTGGCCATGTAGCTTGTACCCAATCATCACCGTATATAGCCACCTAGCGTCAAGGTAGAGTATCACCACTGGACACCTGTGTTTGTTAAGTAAGAGTTTAGAAATGGATATTTCCATATTTGATATTCATATTTACATGTTTTTATTGTATCAATGTGCTTTGTAAGATAATAAAGTGTTTATTAGACCTAATGGCCCTTTGGCAGCACTATATTAGACCACATGGACAGGGTGATTTGTGCCTGTGCAATTTTTGAGAGTTATTATGTACCTTTATCTTGGCTTTAAAATCTATTATTATTTTGCCAGCATGTGTTACAGCCATATTAAGGTTTCAGCGAAAATATCAAAAGTTTTGGGCTACAATTGGAACCAAATACAGACTTGTAGCAAAGTAGTATTGGTCTTCCCATTTAATGCCATGCAAGTGCCAGAGTAATGAATGTATTGGGAGAAGTTTAAAGGCATTGTATCGGGGTAAGGGAGGAGTGGAGGGGGGGAGGGAGGGGAGCTGTTGATGATGTTATTTATATTGTGTGACATTTAAACCATGAAAAAGTGTAATATATTGGATAGAATATCTCCAAACCAATATTTTCCCAAAGCTAAGTGAAAAAGAGAGTTTGTTTTCCAAAGTGAGCTGTATGCATGTTGGTGAAATTCAAATGTATACAATCTGTTTCCAAATGATGGCAAGCAAGTACACATAGTTAAAATATCAAAAGAAACATAATATCATCTTTATCCTGCTAAATTAAATTAGCTAGTGTGTGAACCAAGCATGTATCGAAAGAATGGAGCTGTTATATAACTGCAAGGGGCTATAGAAAAGCACAAACCTCGACCTAAAGCTATAAACGAGGTGGGAAATAATCTGAGCATACATGACGGAGTCTGAAGGCGCTGTCCACAACAGCCTGTTAAATTATTACATACCTGCATTTTCTCCAGAAAACAATTGGTCTACCTAAATTATATTTTAACTCTTTTTTTGAGCGAAGTTAGGTGTGTACTCAGTACTGGCATTACTAGTAGAAGGTGTTGAATTGTCATTGCAAAATAATTATTTCCAAACTGTTATTAATAGTAGCTATAGAAGCCACCAGAGATAAGACCATACTATGTAGTTCTTTTAAGCTATGTTTTAATATTGCATTCACTATTGAGGCCAGGCCTCCCATATTGTCAATGAGACAGCCACTAGAGGATTTGGAGGAAGGCTTAACCCATTGATAAACATAGCAGTTTCTCTGAAACTGCTATGTTTATAAAAAAATGGGTTAACCCTAGAAGGACCTGGCACCCAGACCACTTCATTAAGCTGAAGTGGTCTGGGTGCCTAGAGTGGTCCTTTAAGTTCTGCTATGATTTTGTGTATTATCAATGATCTGTAGCTGGAATGCTGGGCTGATTACTATGGTCTGTCTTGTAAGAGAATTAGAGCTGAATGGGGTGCTGGTAAGTGAGAGGTCGTTTCTGTGTAGTGAGGCGTTAGACATACTATGACTTTAAAGGTAACAAATTGATTATTGAACTGTAAGGTGATAGGTATGAAGTAAATCTGCTGCCTACTACTAGTGCCAAATGACAAAATTATATTACTGTAACTAGTTTGGTGACAGGTGAGGCCCTAACTAATTGCCAAGCGGCTTGAGAGGCTCTACCTATGATTTGGCATGTGGGGCTTTCTTGATGCCACTGACATAAGTGGCGCGGTGTTGGCCTCTCAGTGACATTTACCAGATATAAGATAGATTGGCCGTGACAGGTGAGGTCCTAACTATAACATAATGCAAGACTCTAGATATGCGTTGGGCAGTTGGGCTTGTACCTCCGAGCGTGAGGATTGGAGTTGGCCTTGCGGGACCACTCAACTAAGGCGAAGAAGCCTATGAAATTTTTTATCTAATTGGCGAGAACTTTCAGGAGGTTACTTCATACCTAACAATAGTTTGGAGATGTTCCTATAGATCTTTTTTTTTTTTTTTTTATAAACCTTGGAATTTGTAAATGTTTCGTATTTTTATAAAAAAAAGCTAGAAAGAACTAGCAGAACAAGACAAATTTAAATTTTTTATTTAGATGAAGAGGGAAATAAAACTATACAAAAATTTACTAACCAGTATTTCTTAAAGGAAATACCTGAGCTACAGCGAGTTACAATAAGATTCCCGCCCCTGGAAGCGATTGCGGAGATCCTGAAGGATTAGGCGGGAGTGAGGAAAAGGAGACGGAAGGGAAAAAAAAGGGGGGGAGGGAGAAATAGAGAGAGAAAGAAAAATAACTTAAAATGTACTGAAACATGCATTATTATCTAAGAAATTCATTTAATTCCCTATTTGAACTGGTATTAACAATTATTAACAAGTTTGACACCAAGAAATTTTGAACCGTTAAAATGTTAAGTAATTAGTGAACCTTCCCCCGAGATGGATGACATATTTAAAGTATAAATAAGAATTCGCATAAATAATAGTCCAACAGTAATGCATGAAACCCAGTGAATTGTCATAGTGTTATATAGAAAGCAAACAAATGTAAATTCCTGGGAAACAAAAATACACGAACGGGAAACCTTCATATGAAGTGGTGTTTGTAAAATCTTTGCGCAAACAGCATTGAATCTGACAATTATGTGAAATAGCTTAGGTATAAACAGCGCGAATTAATACACAAATACCGTTCGTATGCTTTCACCCACACGAATGAAGTGTCTGTAGAACACATATACAAACAAAACAGCTTAAAACATGCATTCATTTAAATGAACAGAGAATACAAATGAATTGTTACGAATTGTATGTGACAATGTTCGAAATAAATGGTGTTCGTATAACTGAACTACTTACAGTTTGTAGAATGTATGCTGTGTTCATGCCAAGGGCCATGTTCGTTTTTAAATACTCACAAATTTACACAAAAGTAAGTTGGATAGCGGTGTTCATACAGACGGCTGGCAGGTGGAAATTACGTCAGGGTCTGTGCGAACCGGAAGCAGAACAGGAGAACTTCCAAAATCGGTGACGACAGGTAAGTAGGGGTTACCAGGGTTTAAATAGGTCACCAAACCCCTCCCACAATTTCAGACTTATGCCTTCCACATATACACACACACAAACATATATATATATAATATTTTTTTGAAATGTATTATGTTTTATTTTATAAGTGTACTTAACAGTGTATGTCAATTTTGATGATCTCAGCCAAGGACACAGATCGGGGGCAGGGTGCAGCAGACCCAGGCAACTCTGGAATAAAGGTGAGTAAACTCACCTTTCAAATAGCTTATGGTGGAATGAGTGCCTAAATATTGCTCTCACAGCTATAGTGACAGGAATACAACCGTGTAATCCTGTCACTAAAGTATGCCTTTGAGTATGCTAGTTAATAGCAATATCCGTAGGCTTATTTTGAGGTATGTACCAACAATAGGAAAAAATGTAAACATTTTAAAATAGTAAACTGCTGAAAAACAGAACAATTATTTGCCAACATAATAAATATAATACAACAATGTAAAAAAATTCACTATAGGTAGCAAATTACCTATGGGGCATGCATATTGTATACAAAAAAATAAGAATAAAATGGCAAAAACAAAAGTAGAACATATATATATATACAGGTGGGACAAAAAATGAACTGCCGTTCCATGAGGACAGAAAGAGATGCCACATTTTTTTTTTTTAATTCTTTATTTTTCTTGTGCATGTTAATACAGTTAACATTTTGCCTTGCGATGCCACAACAGCATTAGCAGGCCAGTTAGGTACAGTGGAGTTGACATGGCATGCGGTTTGACAGCACATTTTTATATTGATATCAGAGTTGTAACGGTTAAGTCGAAATAAGAGATGCAATTTTAAACTAATGAGTATGGTAATTCAAGCTTAGTCTCATGTAAGATTAATTATTAACGTTTACACCACTATACATTAACGTCGCTTTAGCTCTTTAAGATATGAGGGCTTAAACGTGTTAGACAACGCTTCATATTACAGCACTGTTGGGCTTATTTGTGCATAAGTGAGAGATCCGCAATTTATATACTAGCAACAGGTCTAATGTGTGATGACACTGATTGAGTAAAACATTAAGGCTCACATTATGTAAGACTAGTCTCGTTGCCAGGATTTGCTTATATGAGAGTGATGTACAGCATGGGGGACTCAGTGCACGGCTACATTAATATGAGACAAAATGTGAGAAAAAATGGTGAGAGGAAAAAATAAAAATAAATAAAAATAAAGGAAGAAGAAGACATCTTGAGCTGTGCCCATAGTGATAGCTGCTCAGAGTGTGAAGAGGTCGTTGTTACTTATGTAGAAGACAGGAGGGACAGGAGCCATCCCCATGATCCGCAGCACAGTCCCCGGGCGATTCCCGGGGACTGTGCTGCGGATCATGGGGATGGCTCCACAGTCCCCGGGCTTGACAAGAGTGGGTCCAGCATAATACATAAGGATCAGTCCATCATATTGCGTGGTGAGAGGGGTGAGTGTGTTTAATCCCTTGCTGCTGCCCATTCCTCCACGGGAGATAGCTGGAGCGCAGGAGTGTCTGTCTGGGCGGCAGGGTTGGCAGTGTTGCGTGGTGAGGGGTCGGGAAGCAGACACCGGCTGTTCATCGCCGCTGGATCCGGGATTCCCGCACATTTGCAGGTCGGTAAGCTTAGGTGCATTTGTGTTGGGGAACCCCTCTGCCTCATCTTCATCCGTGCTTCCCCGAGATTTTCAGTCAGCTGAGCCTTGATGGTTTCTGGCTTTGCCGCCATTTCGGTTTTGCCCGCCATGACCGCCATTTTGGAATGGAGGGTCTTCCTCGCTCCAGGCGCCTAGGGTTGCGGGAACAGTCTACTGGGACCGGGATGACCCCCACCGGTCCAAAAGGGGGGATACGGGGCCCCTACCACGTGGCATCAGAGTTCCGAGAGGAAACCGCAGAGCAGGATAGCGAGGTGGCGGCCGTCCACCTCACTCACCGCCCGGGTAGGCCCCAGATTTGGCTGTGCCGATGTGCCTTTTCCGAGGTCAAACCGCTCGTGGTCTGGTTGGCCTCAGCACCAGCCCCTCTTTGCCCGCAGGACTGTTGCTTCCAGACTGCAGATAAGTAGTTTTGTGCGTTTTACAAGCTTTAAAGTCATTTTTCTGCAGGAGCTCATTTTGTATGCGACCTCTCAGCATGGCGGTCGGGCCCCGCCCCCCGAGATGCCACATTTTTAAGTCAGCTCTAGCTGGATCGTCAAAATAAATATAGAGCTGTCATCTGGCAGTCCGTGTAGCAGTGCAAGTAGTTTTTATATATACACACAAAGTAGAAATTTATCAGCACTCCAGGGATTCTTGGAAAAAAAGTTTACTTACAAACAGTAAAACATACAAATAGAAGGTAGTAGGTTTGCACCTGAGCTGCTATAGCAAAAGCAAAGCGCCCAGCTGTGTCCAACTATCTAGAGTACCGGGTCGAGACTCCAGGGGTCTCTAGGGGCTTAACCCCAGTAGATACAAAAAAGAAAGAACAAACAAACTGATACAGGTGGTCACAACACATAAAGTGTACATGAATCACTGTATCACCTTGAGATATATGTAGTTAAATGGTGTTAAGAAGAACAAAATTAATATACAGGAATACCTAGTTGCAGGTGAGTATATAAAGATGAAATATGGTGAACATCTATTAAATAGTAATAAAAACAAAATAGTAGTCTGTATAAAATAAAATATGCTCCTATGTACAAAAAAAAGTATATACCAGACCAAAATCATTATGTACAGGTATTGTTGCAGATATATGTCTAAGTGAGCTTTATTGAATATGGCTCTTAATATATCAGAACATTTCCCTGATAGTCTACCTCCTGTTATATACTCAAAAGATTATTCCTCATACAATGTATCCTATCTGTTTATAAAGTTAAATCCTGATATTTCAAGGTTTGCCCCATCAGAGAGCCCTCAGTTTCAAGGCTTGTAGTGCTGGCTGGGGATATCACATGATATTGCCTGTCAGAGGGTTAGTAGATTTAGGGTAGAGAGTAAGGTCAATAAACTGCTAGAAAAGCTGGCAGTAGAGATTAATTAGTTAGACAGCCTCTCTCCCTGGTAAACTGACTAGACAGAAGTAGGAGCAGTAGATAGGTAAACATAGCATACTAAAGAAAAAATGTGTGAGGCAAACAAAGTACTATGTCAAGTGCTCATACCCCAGGAAAAACAAACGCCCGATGTGCGTTTCGGTGCTGTATAAGACGCACCTCCGTCAGGGCATTCCCTCCAATGTCCATTGGAGTAACTAAATAACCTCCATTTGTTTAACTATACATAGGGATTTAGGAGAGAGCACAAGTAACTTTTTCCAAATAACTTCACTCCAAATGCTTCACCTCAGGAACCCATATTAAATTACAAAATTGCTCTGACTAAAACAGACAGACCTTTTTCCTGGGGCAATTAATTCACATAGTCTAATACTTTTGGAGAAATATACAATCCATCCATAACAATGCCTTGCACTCTGTCACAATATATATATTTACACTGAACAAAATTATAAATGCAACACTTTTGTTTTTGCCCCCATTTTTCATTAAATGAACTCAAAGATCTAAGACTTTTTCTATGTACATAAAAGACCTATTTCTCTCAAACATTGTTCACAAATCAGTCTAAATCTGTGTTAGTGAGCACTTCTCCTTTGCCAAGATAATCCATCTTTTACGAATGCTGGTATTTCGAATACCCGTTTGTTCGCTTTCTCCCGAACTGCTAGAGGCCGAGTGATTATAGCTCCCAGTTGGGGTGTTGATTCGAAAGTTCTCCAGACAAAATTACAGCATTCAAGTAAATCCACCAAGTAATCAGATGCATACCAAAACATCAGCCTGAACTAGATGAAGGGTACAACAGGAATGTTTTTATTCAGGCCAAACAGCCGGTTTTTATGCAAGACAAGGGTACAGTATACATGCCCACAGAAACTCCCACTACATGCCCCTTACATTCCTGAGTTACAATGACTATTAAAATATCAAAAGTACATAATAAAACACATAAATATTATAGGGACCCCCATAAATGGCATATCCCCAGATAGCTTGAATCTGAGCACCCAAGTTGTCCAAATAGCACTCAGATCCCACGAACACAACCGAATCGCCACCGGGGTAAAGATTTGACGGACCGCTCACAAGGTGCTTGCCCAAAACAGCTCCAGAATTTCATGGGTAGCGATCGGTCAATTTCACGAGTCCCAAACCAAACAAATCCATGAACGGGGCCCCTGGCTCATAGGAAGCGTTTGTTCCCTGGGTTCATGAAAACAAACCTACCGAACAGCGCTCTCCTGGCTGGTTAGGGAAACAGGTGTTCGCAAAGTTCACCTGTGTTCAGGAAGTCGAGTGTCCGATTTGAAGTTCCAGACACTTGATGACCAAGTCCTGCTGCCTCTTTTAGTGTGCCAAGATGTGTTGTTCAGTTACATGAATGGCGGCCACATAGGGAGAGCGCTATTTCCTGTGGTTTTCTTTGAATTTAATGAGCCAGGGGGTGGTCGTTGTTCGGTAGACTTATCTACCGAATCAAAAAATAATGAATGAGAACCAAGTATGTAGTTTTCTTCACACCTATCCTCACAGGTGTGGCATATCACGATGCTGATTAGATAGCATGATTATTACAAATGTGTGCCTTAGGCTGGCCACAATAAAAGGCCACTCTAAAATGTGCAGTTTTATCACACATAACAGCACAATGCCACAGATGTCGCAATCTTTGAGGGAGCATGCAATTCGCATGCTGACTGCAGGAATGTCCACCAGAGCTGTTGCCCATGAATTGATTATTAATTTCTCTACCATAAGCCATCTCCAAAGGCATTTCAGAGAATTTGGCAGTACATCCAACCGGTCTCACAACCGCAAACCATGTGTAACCACACGAACACAGGACCTCCACATCCAGTATCTTCCAAGATCGTCTGAGACCAGCCACCCAGACAGCTGCTGCAACAATCAGTTTGCATAACCAAAGAATTTCTGCACAAACTGTCAGAAACCGTCTCAATGACACGGAACACTCTGATTGGTGGATTTCAAACCAACCAATCAGAGTGCTATGAGAGATAAATGTAGAGACTTACCTGTCAGTCTCTTCATTTACCTGTCAGAGCACTCTGATTGGATGGCTTAAACCCACCAATCAGAGTGCTCTGCGCCTAATTGCAGGGTGGGGCAAGGCTTTTTTTTTTTTTTTAAAGTGTGTCGGTTATTATGGCTTTTTATTTGGCCTTTTTTGGGGCTGAAAAAATAAGATTTTAGAAGAAAGAAAACATCAAATGGTAAGTTTTATTTTATTTTTTAACAGGTTTAGCTAATGGTCCCCCCTAACTATTTTTAGGGTGAGGGGGATAGGTAGGGGTTCATTTTTCTGGGAGGGGATGACTAGGGGTTTGGGGACCCCTAGTCACCTGAGGAAGGGGGGTAATTTTTTATTTAGGGCCCCCACCCACTGCTCAGGGGTGGGGGCCAGGGGGGAGGACATTAGGTCCCCCTTATTCTAATTTAGGGCTCCCACCCACCGCTCAGGGGTGGGGGCCAGGGGGAGGACATTAGGTCCCCCCTCATTCTAATTTAGGGCCGCCACCCACTGCTCAGGGGTGGGGAGCAGGGGGGAGGACTTTAGGTCCCCCAGTAATTATTATTTAGGGCCCCCACCCACTGCTCAGGGGTGGGGGCCAAGGGGGGAGGACATTAGGTCCCCCCTCTTATTCTAATTTAAGGCCCCCACCCACCAATCAGGGGTGGAGGCCGTGGGGGAGGACAATAGGTCCCCCCCATTATTTTACTTTAGGGCCCCCACCCGCTGCTCACTGTTTACTAGAGATGCCCCTACTCGCGGTATATAGCGAGTAGGGGCATAATTAGGGAATTAGGGAGTTATCTACCAAGCGGCTGCAAGAGAAGTTCCAAAATTCTGAAGTCCCGAAGTTCCGAAGTGTCGAAGTGCCGAATTGCCGAGGTCCCGAAGTTCCGAAATTACAGAATTTCCGAAGTGTCGAAGTGCCGAAGTTGCTGAAGTTCTGAAGTGTCGAATTGCCGAAGTCCCGAATTTCGGAATGCCGAACCGAACCAAAAAATGTTACCATGCACATGCCTAATGAAAAGTATGTTAAAGAATAGCATTGTTGATCACATGGATTTCAAGATCAGAGACAACATGGGTTTACCTCAGGGAGATCATGCCAACTAATCTTATTGATTTTTTGATTTGGGTAACTAAAATAATAGATCAAGATGGTGCAGTAGACATTGCTTACCTATATTTCAGTAAGGCTTTTGACATTGTTGCACAAAGAAGGCTTATCAATAAACTGCTATCTTTGAGTTCAGATTCCAATATTGTTGAAATGGTTAGGCCGTGGCTGAGTGACAGGCAACAGAGGATTGTAAACAATAAAGCATATTCGAAGCATGGGCTTGTCACCAGTGGGGTACCTCAGGGATCTGTACTTGGACTCTTTAATATTTTTACTAGTGATATTGCAGAAGGTCTTGATGGTAAGGTATGTCTTTTTGCTGATGATACAAAAGTGTGAAACAGAGTTGATGTTCCAGGAGGGATAAGCCAAATGGCAAATGATTTAGGTAAACTAGAAA